TTATTATGGCCAATCAAATCTGAAATTATTCCAAAAATTGAAATTTGATTGGCTACTTAATATTTATTGATCATACCGAAATAAAATGGAATTTTATACGGAGGTATTCACCGTCCCTGGTCCAGATTCGAATTATCAATCGGATTCATTAAGAGAATCCGAATTTAATCCGAATAACCCTTAAAGAATAGGATCAAGACACTATCTAAAAGCATACACAGGTAGATCAGAAAAATATCAAAGAAATATCAGGTTCTGATTTTAGTTGATTTTTGGCGCCTATCGTGACAACAACAGAGACATGTCAGGTGCTGATAGAGCCATAGTAAGCTATCAGGCACATGTCAGTTCTGATAGCTCTACCAGCACCTGATATGTCCCTGTTGTTGTCACGATAGGTACCAAAATCGGAACCTGATATTTTATGATATTTTTCTGATCTTGACCTGTGATAGTTTCGCTTCGCTAACGTTGTCTAGAAAACTGTCGTATGGGTGAAGATTTCCAGTTTTCATAATTTTTATTATGTATAAAGGTTTTTTGAACCAACCATATGCAAGATTTGGAGTGATATTTTAATCAATCATCGTAGTTTTTTATATCTGTTATGGGTCCTTAGATAATTTACGAGCTCTTATCAGTTTTTATACAGTTACTCTATAATAATTTAGACCAAATTTTAATAATAAAAAAAATAAAATATTAACTTTGTTTCTCTGGTTAAATATAAAGTAATATATTTTTTTTAATGTATTTATATTATTTGTTTTATCGTCTATTTATGTGAAATTATGTAATAAATTTTTAAAAATATGCAACAAAATATGCAAACAAAGTAGAAATATGTGACAACTAAGATTTACAAAAATCAAGAAAAAAAAGTTTCTAAAGTTTCTTTTATTTATTTTACAGTAAATATCAAGAAAGTTCTTGGGCGTTTTACTTAACAATAAGGAGTATTTTATATAATTTTTTTTCCAGCTTATTTATGTATCTATCTATCTTTAGATAACTAACTTTAACTACTACAATTTCTCGAAATAACAGGAATTCAGGTGTTATTTTAAAAATCATGCCTCCATATAAGTGATTTTGAAATATATAACACCCATATGTTCTAAATCAGGTGTCGATTTTTTGTCCAGCATTAACTGATCGACATTAATTGGCCTAAATTACCCCCACTATTTTCACCCTAACCTCTAACTTAGACAATGTTTTTTTCTAGATTTTATACGCAGACTATGTGCTATTAATTATGCGATATAAGCCCTGATATGCAAATTATGCAATCGCATCTGCTATGCAATAAATGTCACATTTATGCAATTGCAGATATGCACCAGCCCTAATCGTTATGTATTGTACGTTCTTGTTGCAAAAAAAAAAAATTGCAAGGTCGGATGATCAATTTCCGATCTATTAGATCTGGTTAAACGTAAATATCTCGAGAATTTAGTCCAATAAAATTTCGTGTAACGGAATTTTTATTTCTTTTTTTTTTTTCTAAGTCTTCCAAACTGAAAAATATAATGGCATACGGTAAATATATCATGTTATATGACACGAATTTATGAAAGAGTTTTCTTTGTTCATTAATTTATCGTCGATTGTTTTTTTTGCATAGACTCTGGTCGAGGTTTTTTTGGACGTGGAGGAGGACGCGGTGGTGGTAGAGGTGGCGGGGATCGTGGAGGGCGTGGTGGGGGACGAGGGGGGTTCTCATGTATGGAGCGAGTATTTTCTTTATGTTGGAACCAATTAATATTGCTTAAATAGTTTAAATTGCAACAATTTAATAAATCCCATCTTATTTTATTTTGTTCCTTAAAATAACTTCCGCTAGCTCGCGGTGGCGGTAAGAATATTTAATAATCACAAGGCCAAATCGCCAATGAAACTTTAATTATATTTTTCGTTAGGTATTCAAAAACGCGGTGCTGCTGTTGGCGGCCGTGGAACTCGTGGAGGTCGTGGAGACCGTGGACGTGGACGTGGCGGTGGAAGAGGGGGCCGGGGCGGCAAGCCTGGAGTTAAAGGAGGATCTAAAGTTATAATTGAACCACATAGACATCCTGGTATATTTACCGTGCCAAATAACTTCATATTTCGTCAGAACTCTCGTATAACTATAATTCGATACTTTTGTTATTAGGCGTTTTTGTTGCTCGTGGTAAAGAAGATCTTCTTGTTACTAAAAATCTTGTAAGTGGTGAATCCGTATATGGCGAAAAGAGAATTTCTGTTGAAGGACTAGATGGCGTTAAAATTGAATATCGTGTTTGGAATCCATTTCGATCTAAATTGGCAGCTGGAATTCTTGGTGGTGTTGATGATATATATATTGCACCTGGAAAAAAAGTATTGTATCTTGGAGCTGCTTCAGGAACTACAGTTTCACATGTTGCAGATATAGTTGGACCAGTAAGTTTAACTTTTTTAATAAGCATAACATCTTGATGAAGCTCACAGGCTAAATTAATACTAATCACCATATTAAAAGGAGGGTGTAGTCTATGCTGTTGAATTCTCTCATCGATCCGGACGTGACCTCATTAATGTCGCCAAGAAACGTACTAACGTAATTCCAATTATCGAAGATGCACGCCATCCGCAAAAATATCGTATGTTGATGAACATGGTAGATGTTATCTTCGCGGATGTAGCACAACCAGATCAAGCACGCATTATTGCTCTGAATGCACATCATTTCCTTAAAAATAACGGAAATATTGTTATATCAATCAAGGCAAATTGCATTGATTCAACCGTTGAAGCAGCCACAGTATTCGCAAGGGAAGTAAAAAAACTTCAGGAAGAGCGAATAAAACCTCTAGAACAACTTACTTTAGAACCATACGAAAGAGACCACGCTCTAGTAATAGGAAGATATGTAAGAGCACAATAAAATAAAACATTTTATTTCTTGTATATATCATTGATTAAGTGATGGGTGAAGGAATTAAAAGCAATTAGGCCTACTGCACACTGCTATACACTATTTCTATGAAGTTATTATATATAGTTATATATTGCCTTATTGTCTAATTATCTAAACAACTTAATTAACGAAGTCATTCTATGTACAGAGACCTCTAAATGCACTCTCTATAAATGCACCCTCTATGTAAAATCTCTTTATAGTCTGGTCCCAGCTTATAATAGTAATATATATTTTGCTCTCTATAAATGCACGCCCTCTTTAAGTGCACATTTTTGAAATTTTTTACTATGGTCCCGAGGGGGTGCATTTAGAGAGGTCTCTCTGTATCATTATTACGTAGTATATATACAGTAAAACCTCCATAAGTGCACCCTCTGTAAGTCACACCCTCTCTAAATGCACGTTCAAGTTCTGGCCCAAATATATACATGCTCTCTATAAATGCACTTTCTCTTATTAATCTCTAAGTGCATGTTGTTATAGCTTGGTCCCACTTATAGAGGTTTTACTGATATATTTGTAGTATATATATAATATATATATAGTATAGTATATATATAGTAATAAACAATAAATTTTTCATCACACCAATTACACTACACACATTTCATACACTATTGCCGATTGGTGATAGTGAATGCCGTAATCATTACACCTATATATATATATATATTTATTTATTTAAATAATATTTTACCAGCATCATTAAAACGCTTCCATAACTTAGGCTCCCTCTCGTACGATTCGAATTTATTAAGAATGACACACAATAATGGCGTAAATGTGGCTGATCCACTTGCACAAGAAACCTTGTTGAAAGAAATGGCCAAGAAAAGTTGGTGAACATTGTATTATTGTATTATAAACATTCGATACAATTATTTAACTTTTATTTTTTAGCAAGTGGAGATTTAGAAGCGTTTCTTAATCAATTGTATAATGATTCATCACTTGGATTATATCATATGAACGAGCATATTCGTAGAAGAGTACCACAAATCGTTGAAGAAAAGGTAGATAATTTATTAAAATATCTTTGATTTTCTTAACCTACTCATCCCATTATCGCTAAAATTACTTTTACAGAAAGGATTAATTAATCTAGAGAAAGACCTAGAAATCACGATTTCAGATACGAAAGATTCTGATACATTAGTGAAATCTCTGCCGACTATATCAAGCTTTAAAAATATTGGTGATTTATTGAAAAGTACTTTAGATATTGTAGAAGCTGCTAAAATTAAAAAGTAGCTACATACATATGTATGTAATTATTTAGGACTAGAGTCACATTTTAGCTTCATGACTGACTCAATGCATCTAAGCACTTACTATGATACGTATCTTTTGATGTATTTATAAGCACAAAGTTACACGAAAACTTGTACAATACAATATCTTATTAATTAACGTTTAATGCATCAAAACCCGAAACGAGTTTATGAAACATTATTTTATATTAAAATAGCCTTTTAAAGATAAATTTGGAATACTGCGGTCATCTCCGTCACGTATATAATGGCTTTGATACAATACTTTCCTTAAATTTATCTTCTTACGTATTTGCTTGGAGGAAATCGCCGGTCGATTTACTACGCTGTCACGAGCCATATTTATATAACGTTATCTTTTTTTTTTTCCACCTTCCTTATTCCTTAAAACGCAGTGCGCTTATAATATAGTGTATATCTTTGAACTCCATATAAATTATAATAATGTCATATAACAATAGTGTTTCTGAGAAAGATCAGTCGGCTTTTCCGACGATTACTGTACTTGATGTGTCAGAAGAAAAACGTTATGAAGATAAAACAGTACAACGAAAGTGTTGTGGCTGTATAACAGAACAAGTGGGAGTTGTTATTATCTTATCCTTCTACTTTGTAAGTATTGCAGTCATATGAAGATACTATTAAAAAGGAACGTAACGGTTTATAGCTTACATGTAATTCATATAACAGTTCTACGGATTGTTAAACACTTTAAGTTCACTTTCTTCTTTGGCATGTAAGTATAAACTATTATTACTTTATCTACATTATCTGAATTCAAAAATTACATTATCTAAATTAAAAAAAAAAAAAAAAAAAGATTAATCACTTTTTTCTCTCATTTTATCTTCAGCATCCGATTACATTCTTAGGGATAAAATAATTTTAATAATCTCTGCTATCCTATATATTTTTATGACTGCGATTGGAATTACTGGTACTATCGCAATCCGAAAGGTAAATATTAACATTATACATAATTTATTATTCCATAAATAATAACACTATTTTTACATTTCAGGGAAATACTGTCTTGTTACGCCGTCTATCAATTGCTCTTTGGATTTTCACTACTTTAATGTTTAAGTTCAATATTGCAGTTTTTATTACTGAAGTAGTATTTAAAGACGAATATCTACAAGCCTGTCTTTCAGCACAGCAAGAGACTGAAAATCAGGGATTTGATGCATCTAATTGGGATTGTAAAGATTTCATTAATGCTATTTTAGTTAGGGATGCTCTTAAAGTTGCCATTTTTGGCGTTCTTTCGGTATGTTATATATTTTGCAATAATCTGCATTTCTCTTTATGGATTTGTATTTATGAAATTTTAAATTTTTTTCCAGTTCTATTTTGCATATGTCGTTGCCCGTTATTCCCGAAGAACGAAAAATGAGCCTCTTCGCCGTCAATATTCTAATGATGATCAAAGAACTCCCACTTATGTGGTTTATGAAACTAGACCACCAACTGCCCATGATTGGATTCCACCACCAACTTATACAGTGAAAACAAGTCCAGTTCAAGATAGCATGCAAGAAGTTGACCAAAAAGCTTAGCAGCTTTTCTTTTTTCTCAATGTCACAACATTTATTATGAGCTTTATAGCATTTGGCTTCATGAACTACAGCGTAGAAATGTCGGTTATTTGTGTGAACAATGACAAGACGTATTCACCTCCTTCGCTCAACAATCAAATGCTTGTGACAGAGATTCTTTATAATTATTATGATAATATAATAATAAAATTGTCATCACTTGTCATTATTTGTCGTTTCTAACCACATTTGACAATAATATTCGTGAAATATATTCATATTATTCATATTATTTCATTGGTTATTTACTTTCACTCTTTTTTTTTTTTTTTTTGTAAATAACAATGGAAACGTGAGAGATAAAGTTAATAAAATAAAAGTACAAAAAAAGTATTATAATCAATTAAATATTTGGAAATTTAGAAATTCAAAGATAAACACTTTACAAATAAAATAAAAGGTTTGTAGAATTCTATGAAAAATAAATTAACAAAACCGACAATTATGTACAATAATATAAAAAATTGTCTATTTCGACAATGCAATTATCAAGTAACTACATCCGCTTTTATATTATTATTATTATTATTAGCGCCTTCACTATCAATCATCTTAGCCTTAATACCATCGTCATTACTTCTTAAAGCAACCTTGCTAGTTCTTAACCTCTCTATTCCCTTTCCAACATTCTCAATATGCACTTCAATAGGCATTTCAACCAATGATGGTCGTGAGACATGTTCTCTCAATTCTTCTAAATCTAATTGAAATGAAGTTAAACTATATAATGTTGTCTGTATTTGAGAAACTGCAATACGTCTTTGTTTATCAAGATCTCTTAATAATGCTAAATTTTCTTCAAAAATTTGTTTTTTCACTATATTGCCTCCAAGTCTGGTCCACATTTGAGCAAATAAATTGGCACGCTCTGTTTTTTGAAATGTTCCTTCACGAGTTGTTAGATCATGAATCGCTATTAACATTTCATCCAAATCTGCCAAACTATTAATAAAAAGAACTTTATAATCAATTTGTATTTAACATACGACTTTACAAGAAAAAAATTTTATTTATTACCTTCCAAGTGCTTCAGTCGCAACAAGTATCATTCTTTTTAGATCACTTTCAATCAAAGTCATCATTTGATTATAACCAGCAGCTAATTCTTTAGCACTTATCTTGTTATCTCTAACATTTTCTAATGCTTTTAAAGCAAATATATTATATGTAATCAAATTATCTAATGAAGTCCTTGTTCTGGATTGCAAAATTTGCAAATCTCTACCAACACTTTTAGCCTTATCAACAAATTCAGTAAGTCTATCTACTAATTCTTTTGATGTAGATAATGAGGAATATTTTATTAAAGTTCTTAGATCTGCTGTTGCTAATTCTGCCTTTTTTATATCTAATGCTAATGAAGATGATGGTCCTGTATGTGATAATTGATAATCCATTATTTGTTCATAAGTTTCAACCTGTCGATTTACTAATCGTGAGAAATCAGGAATTGGTGTTTGACATAATGGAATCAAATTGGACAAGGGTAAACGACACACAGCCAATGCTAGATCATTTTGAAAGGTGCTTGATATAAACGAGATCGAAGACCATCCTAAATATAACGCAAGCGCTATTGAGAAAATGGGTTTAAGAAGGTGAAGTGCACCAACAATTACATCTGTTTGTATAAGGGAAAAAGAGTTAACAAAAAGCCTGCAACTGGTTGTTACCATAATTTATTAATACATGCCAATAACAAAATTAAGAGGCCCGATAATATTTGGGGGTGTCGTTTCTTCTCTCTTAGACATTTTGAAAATTCTGCTAATAACGATAACGATGTAAAGTTTTACGTATCGGGCGTTTATTTATTTATTATTGTATTTATATATACATCATACATTACAATTGGTAACACATATTCAATTTATAGTAAACGAAAAGATATAACTATTTGTTATCGTTATATATGGGTGTTTTGTGACAAAAAGGTTATTCTGTTTATTTTTTAACCAGCTTCTTTTTTTTTTTTGACGAAAGTTTGGACGTTAGAATCATTAGCTTTGAGTTTGCAGAATGAAGATTACTTACCTGAACTTGAATATCATACCAATTCTGCCTGCAAATAAATAAGATCAAGTCAATAAAAACATTTTACGCTTAAAACCGACGCATGCGTACTATGCATATGACAATTATTTCAACGCTATATAGTAATAATAATTCATCACACAATAATCACAAATTGACTTTCAAAATTTTTCACGAGATGAGTCTTAACGAATATGAAATTTATTGCCTTTACGATCATTAAATCAAACGTTTGGATATCTTGTCATTCTTTTAAAATATTGTGTTCGAAACATCAAAACGTAATAAAATAATGTTCTATTGTTATATGCTTTAAGCATGCAAATTAATTTGCCCATTTCGTAACTTCTCTCACTCGAGAGTATAAATAAATAAATTAATTATCATTTTCGACCTTACGCTGCCTCGTTTTCTCTTTCTTCTGCCTTCCACATAGCATCCAACGCCCTCAAGATCAAATATTCTGGTATAGTATTCACGATGGGAGCTACTATTTTTTCTAATTCAGAAGATTGCACGTTTGCTTTTTCAGAAAGGTCTTTAATAAGATTAGTTAGCCCATCAATGGCTGGCCCAAGAGAAGATTCTTTACGTATCAAACGTGTAATTATTTCAAAAAGTCGATCCACTTTGCAAAGTTGAACTTTAGCAAAAAGCATTCTATCACTCTGTAAACCAATATTAGAAGTTCGAGCCCATGAATTTACTACGTCTTCTAATGTCTTAACCTAATATTTAGCAATTTGGGTATCATTAATTCATTTGTGAATAAAAAAAATAAATAAAATAAATACATATATAAATAAATTATTAATTAAAACATTACCACTTCTACATCCGTGATCTCAAGTATTTTTCTAAAATTTGACCCTTCATTAGTCCATTCATTGATATTTGCCCGTGTCCATTTAGGTTGGGTGACAGGATTATCCATATCAACAAAACACTCGATATTATTGCTATGCTGGGCTAATTGACCATTAGTTGGATCTTCCTCACTGGTTACATACGTACCATTATCCAATTTTTCAACCTATTATTTGAATAATATATTTATACGAAATGTTGAATAAGTAATGTTCAGAAAAAAAAATTTCGCACCTGAGCCACGCCATCGGTGGAAATTACGAAATATCCAGTTTTCTGGGTTAATGTTATCTTCAATACGTGTTGAATATCAAAAACTAATCGTGTTTGCCCACTACGCCAAGTAATAGCAATGGCATCCTGCTTAGATAAAGGATCCGTTGAATTATTCAAATAAAATCTAAGTCTACAGTCTCCCTTATCTTCTTCAAGTTCATTTTTTTCTGGCATTTTTTCAAATTAGTTAATTACAATACTAGGCAGCCGCTATAATTCAACTTTTAAATTATCTACCTATAACGAAAGTGCCAATTGCAAATTTAGTGAGTCTAAAATCGAAGAAGGGTTTTCGTGGTGGTTTCATAGGCGCCATTCGAGGGCGTTTGTAATAACTTTGACCCCGGTGTGTGGAGCTACCTTGTCGTTTGAATGGCGCTGACATTTTATAAATAGAGTTTATGTGTTAAACTCGACGATCTCGATCTCTCTCATGAAAGTCGTCTATTTATACTTTATACAGTACACTCTCATAATTATTAATTGTATGACAGGTAAAAAGTTCACAATTTATCACGTGTTAGCGATTAGATAATACTTTCGTATCACCATTTAAAGCCCACCAATGTTTATCAACAGTATTTAAAATAAACCAAAATATTTTAAAAAGAACATTTGCACATAAAAGAAACTTCACATTTTCATATTATTATATTTATCTGACATTTGAATAGTTAATCAATTAACCCTATAATACAATCAAGGGCCCAAAATTTATGTCCATAGTTTTAATGAATGATCTGCGCCTGAAGATATTATCCATGGTTGAGTAGGATGAAATTCACAATGTAAAACACCTACGTATAAATTTAAATATAAATATTAATCTAAAAATGGAACCTCGTGATATACCAAATGATCTGATTGGTGAAAATTAATTACCTAGATTGTCTACTACTTGATGACCCGCTTTTAATACCTTTACAGGAACAATTAAGGGATTTTGAAGCAAATCATTATAAACCATACCATGAAATATTTGGATGGTTCCATCGTCACTACACGATGCAAAAAGTGGTAGGCGTTTATGGAAAGCAACGCTACGAATAGCTTTTGAATGAAACCTTTATATATATAAAAAATATAGAATCAAAAAAAATTGAAAAAAAATGAAAAAATAACACGATAAGGCAAATGTTAAAAAAAAAACAACACAATACATACCGTAATGCCTTGTATGGCCTTGATGAAAGGTCCAAATCAAACCAACATAATCGTTTATCATAACTTCCTATTATGACATTGTCACCTTTATAAAATATGAAATTAATAATATTAAATACTTAATTACCATGATTTAAAGATATCATGTATTGTTTATGAAAATATGAATGTAAACAATATCATTATTAATAATTTTAAAATTAAATAAGATCATGTACCCATTGAGTGAATATCCAGGCTGGAAATCCATTTAACTCCTGATTGCAATGTTTTAACTAATTCTTGTTTTACCAAATTATAGATGCGTACGAATCTTTGATACTGTAAACATTGGTAGAAAGATAAATTACAATATTGGAATAAAATTTAAGTAGTTTATTTGACATACCGCCACAAAGAATAAGGGCTTTATAGGGTGGAACATGACGCGTTGAACCATACCCCTAGCCCTGCGAAAAGGTTGTTGAGTTTGATGTTTCGAAAGCTGGTGAATCAAGATGGCTTGGTTGCCCGCTGGAAAATGATAAAATAACAACAATCATTCACAGCTTTCGGCAAATGAAATAAACATATTAATTCCCAACTTACCATCAGGTGCCACAGTCGCAAAATAATCACCCTTTCGATGCCATGTAATTTGTTTGACAACCTAACAAATAATAAGAATAATCAACTTTAGCATAAAAAGGCTCAAATAAGATGGCATACATTTTTATAAGCTACCTTGTTATGTGCGTGCTGCACAATTACAAGGAATCCGTCTCCCTGTTCCGTTGGCGGTTTTATCCATTCAACTAATTTCATTTGTTTTTCTATTAAACTATGTCAGTAAATCTTTTAGATAAAAAATTAAAAGAAAAAAAGAGTAAATTAATAAATTTGGTAAATACCATTTTTCTCAGTGTTAAATCCAGATGTAACATATTGAGCTGTTAAATTTGTAGTTTCATCATTGCGTATAGCAGGTGGTGAAATTATAATAACTTTATTCGAACTTGAATAATATAATATAAATTAAATAAATTATTTTAACGAAAAACCTTTTTTTACAACTCAGCAAAAAAAATTAAGACCTACATAGCAACTGCAAATGCACAGATATCCTTATTTGGACACCAAGCCACAGAATGCACAATTTCATTCACATCCCAGGTTTTAACACAACGTCCTGTTGTAATTTCCCACATTCTTATAGTCTTATCATCAGACCCAGACAGCAACCATATTCCAGATGGATCAATAGAGAACGCGCGTACACGACCTTTGTGAGCATCGTATGAAAGAGTAATTGATGTTGGAAAAGGTTGAAGGTCTTTTGGATTAGGTAATTTAGGCAAGAGTGATTCCGGATCAATGTTAAGCTAAAATTCGAATAAATTAAATAATCAGCAAAGAGGAGTGATAAAATCTAGAATTTTCAAGCACTAAAATAATAAGTCAGCGATGCCGCATTACTTTATTCCTTCGCATACGCGGGGCTAAATACAAGTCGAGGCATCTATTGAATCGCTCTTGAATAAACCGTCCATATGCTGGCACAGCTCTTAGGCACGGATATCTGCAATATATTATTAAAATGAGCTTTAAATTGATTATGTTAAATAAGGTAATAGCATTATTACTTTTTGGGCAAATAATCCTTTTCTCTATCATCCAGGTCCGTCTTTTCCAATTCCTCTCTTTCTTTGTCTGTTGGTAAATATTCCGCAGGAGGGTTATAGCTCTCATCATGTTCGGGTAGCTTTATTTTAGGTGCAGGTATCTGCATAATGTGCTCTTCGCGCGGTTTATCATTATCTGTCCATAAACTATAATAACGAGGTTTTGGTGTTTGGGTTTTACCGAGTACAATACGTCCTTGGCGAATAGCACGAACAAGTTTCATTATCTGCAAATAACATTTCAATTTTAATTTTAAGTGCAATTATTGAATATCGAACAAATCAATATTATATCATATAGAACATACACGTTTTGCTTCCCATTTTGAAGGTACGAAACGTCTCTTGGGTTCAGGCGTTGCGTTGAGTGGCATCACTTCTGGTTTGCTAGTGAACCACTCGACAGTTGGTTCATACGGATCATAATTTGGATCCGGAAATGCACCCATCTGTATTCTACGAATAATCTCTAATTCTTCGTCACTTAATTTAACGTTCTGTTGTGATAAAACATCTTTTACACGTAACCTGGAAATGGTCGATCAAATATTATGAAAATTAAATTACATTATAGTAAAAAATAAATGAAGTAATTATGCTACATACCATGAATCAGGATCTTCCATATTATCCAAAAATTTGTCTAGTTCATCACTTGTAGCAGGTTTCATGATTTTTTTGCCATCGATGTTATATCCAATATGTGGATAATCATCATACCATTCCATCGGTATATTACCCACGGTATTGACTGGCTAATTCATAAAGGGAATTAATTTAGGCAAACTTCACGAAATAATTAACAAAAATGTTGTTCTGATTAATTCATACATTTTCAGTAGAAGAATCACTTTCATATATTGGATCGATTTCTGGTAATATCTGACGTGGATAACCATTAGCGCCAATCTCATATTGCACTTGTTTTTCCCTAGATATTGCATAAAGCATTTTATTAAATAATTGACCATGAAATTAAACAACTATATGTTCAAGGGAATCACAAACATTTGTTCAGATATTTCACAATCGCTCATTGCACTGCTAATAGTTCCTTCATCGTCTTCAATGTCCACATCACTAATATCTTCAGTGTCCACATCACTATTATCTGATATGTTTTCATTGCTGCTAGTTTCTTCTTCGCTCCTTTGACGCTTCATTAATTAAAAAAAATTTACATAATGTGATTATCGGTTTTATCAAACATTTTTATGTGTAACATTATACAATCTGTGCGAATTTTTTTGGGTATCAAAAATTTTGATTTGGCCAAATATTAATTCAGGCCACATTAGTGATGGTAAATGACCTGAAACTTAGGTCATTTAACATACAGTATGTTAATTAATATTCTAATGCCTTTTAACAGTCTTTTAACCATTCAGATGGTTGTCAAACAAAAGTATGTAGCAAAATCAAAATTTTACTAAGTCAATTAATATTATGTCTTAGGTTGTTCGAAATAATTAATTGTATATATTTTGAAGAACTTTTATTAATTTACCTATGCGCTTTACATTTATAGGAGTTAATTAATAAAATATAGCGAAAACCTGCAATTTCGGCTCCACTTTCTGATCCGATTCCCGGTAAATTTAAATCAAGCACAACATATATTGTATGGTGTGTTAAATCACATTTTTCGAGGTTTGATCTGTAAAATTAATTTCGGAAAACTCTCAATTCCTGGTTTTCGCTTATTATTTCGAACAACTTAAGACACAAATATTAATTGACTATTTAGCTATAAAGTTTGATAACTTTATGATTTGAGTCATTTAAATTTCGATTAAACGACCGGGTCATTTACTATTCCTGTGTTGGGTGGGCATATAAATTTTTATTGGCGAGCCTACAAATATCTAGCCCAACCCGAGCTATTTCGAAACCTATATGCATTATCGTTATGCAGTTAAAGCTGATCAATCTACGTAGAAAAAATTAGATCTGGGATACAAACTCTATATGCACACGACTTAATGACTACAGTAAATGACCATAGTCATTCGGTCCCAAATGACCCAAAATTGAGATGACCTGTTATTTCGGAGTCATTTGAAAAATTTGCAAATGACCAGGTCATCGGGCTACAATCAATTATATTTTGTTCCACCATCAAAATCAGTTACGTAATCGTTGCTTAAAACTAAGTTGTGTAATTGGCAAGTTAACGACATTTTTGTTATAAAACTTGAAAGGAAATATTATATCAAAATTTTGCATAAAGAAAAAGCTAAGTTCATTCAAATATAATTGATGAACTATTATTTCAAACTTTACATGCTATAACATGAATTTTGAATTTATAATAAAAGTATTTTTATTTGTTTTTAGGATTTTGTTTGGTTCGAACTCTATGTAGCTATCATCTTTCAAAGCAGTGTAATTAATTATTTCTTTTGTTCAGATGACTATGACTTTTCAAAATAGTATCGATATCGATATTAAATATTTTTATTTATTATACTTAATTCGATAAAAATTATAAATAGGTTATATTTTATATAATTTTCTGCAATATATATCGTCGTCATAATTAATTATTATTGTACTATGTTATTATAAACAATACCATCGCGCGATTTTATGTGAGACACGTGATGATTTAAAATTTTATATTAATTGAATTATTTACTTCGCGCGAGATTGATGTCACCTATGCACAAAGTGCGTGAAGTCGCGGGTGTAGAATTTCATTCGCGCGAAATACATCTATAATTATGCTATGTTCATGTTGTTTTAAATTAGTTTTACACAGATAATTTTTAATATTAAAAAATATTGAAATCGAATATGGGGTTAAGAACATGTTGCTAAAGTGTTTTATTAAAATGTGTAATCTCCAATGCGCATTAGAAAATACGAATAGATTACGTTGTTTGATCATTTAAAACATGCTATTTGCTGAAATGTATTGATAGAATTTGCAGATCTTGTTGGCGTAACTGAAATATTAAAAATGCAAACTTGAGCAATTTCTAATTGATGTCTTTCACGAATGGTAGATATTTGACGAGCAAAATATGGTTGCGATGAAAGATTCCTAATATCTAGTAAAAAATTTAAACCATTTTGAGAACGAATACTTGAATTTTTAAATTTATGTGATGGTATTATGAAAGAGTATGAATATTAAAACTTACGTATATGAGAATTATACAATGATTAAGAGTTTTAGTGTATAAAGTGTCGTTTCTAAAGTTAATATTTCAGTATATTTCTTGATTCTCACATTAAGAATTCACTTACATGATTATATCGTTTGACCAATACGTTATGCACATTCTTCCTTTAATCTTTTATTTTCTTGTTCGAGCAAAAAAATTCTTTCGTTATTCTCAATAATTATCTGTTTCATTTCTTCTACATGTGTACTCGCAAAAATATTTGTTTTTTCCAGAGAAACGATAAGATCATTAATTACTTCGTGCGTTGCATAGAAACATTTCATACTTCGTTTGAGCAATTTCAATGATTCTGCAGCCAATTTTCCGTTTGATACAATAATTCCGATTTCATCGTTTTTTAATTTTCTTGTCATTTTTATAAATTTTCTTGTAGTTTTAGGAAGCACAAGGTAATCCGGTTTCAAATATAGCGAACAGCACAAAATTTAGCGACTTGTATGTTCCAAATATGCGATCTTCTCGTACGACAACATTACTAATCGAATGATTGATTAATTGATTTTTTATATATATAAGAAAAACGAATTGCTTGTCGATTTCGTCAATCTAAATTGAAAAAAAAACCATCAGCATTAAAGATATCATCATTACAACCGCAGATTTGCCTTTCACCCTTTCATCCAAGACTTCTTGAACCAGATAGTCCCTTCATCCTACACGGGCAGCGTAACGAAGACACGCGGTACGCTAGATAACCCATACTGAGTGAGTGTGAAACATTCACCTGATAAAAATGTTCAGTAAACAGCAACTCATTAGAATGTTCTTGTTTCTTTTCATCCATGGTATTCTTGTAAAAAAAAATATGTATGTCAGTATTAAAGATATCATCATTACAACCGCAGATTTGCCTTTCACCCTTTCATCCAAAACTTCTTGAACCAGATAGTCCCTTCATCCTACACGGGCAGCGTAACGAAGACACGCGGTACGCTAGATAACCCATAC